GGGCGAATGATCCCCATTGCTTAGCTATTAACACAATGGCGGAGTGGGGTGCATGGTATGAGCCGCTCGGAATATGGCGCGCTTTCCTCCCCTATCTTCCTCAGCATCAGGCCGAGGGAGATGTTTATGAGCAGGGGAGGTCGCTCGTCCCACGCCGCCGGGGTTCCTCGCGCCCTGTCGTGCATTGGTGTTTGGCCTGTTAATGGTGCGTCTGAGCATCTGCAGAGCGCGGGCGCGGCCCTATCGGCTTTGACAGGACGCTGCAGGGCTTTACAAAGACCTTTTAAATCTGTTACGAGGAAAAAAAAACTTTACAAGGCATCTTAGAAGGGCTACTTTTGTTATTTTAGAGCAGAACTAAAATAGACAAATATTGTGGTACCTTAAAGAGTTCACAGATTTCAGTGTGAGTTTTCATGGATTACGGTCCATTTCTTTTTAGACACATCAAGAGAAACTTTCGGCCACATGTTTATGTAGGAGTACACATGACGGGGACGCAGTGAATATCAATAAGGGCTCAGGAAATGAGGTTTCAAAGTGACGCTAGCTTTATTAACTTCTGGAGTTACATAAAAACCCTGGTCGTTGCTAGAGTGATTAAATGTTTCATCATATACTGTAAGCAAGCCTTGTTCTTGAAGTGAAAGATATTGATCCCGGAAATGTCTCGATCTTTTTTCTGAACGAGCTTCTGATTCGGCGTGCAGAGTGAGTACACTTCTCTGTACACACGACTGTTTTTTTAAACCTTTTATTAATATAAAGGGTTTTTTAAATACAGCGAACCTTAAAATCTTGTTTGTATGTAAACCTTGAGACCAGCTGTTCCCAACCTTTTTGGCATCCTGCCCCTTTTTTTATTCTTCATAAACCCTTTATTTACCCATCCTTCCTTTGCCATCATCCAGTCCTTGTTTAATCAAAAAGAGAGAGGTAATTGTGCAAAAATGCACAGACTTGTTACATGCTTTCAACTCACGTTCATGGTAGTGTATCCCTATGAATGAGGCATGTTTGTCTTCAACAGCCCTGCTCAGTTCTTGTAATCCCAAGGCTATGGCTTCCTTATAGAGTCCATTCGTCTCATATTTGAGATTCCTCTTTTCCTGCTGCCTTTGACTTTTCCTAACATTATTGTCTTTTCCAGCATGACTTGCCTTCTCATTATGTGCCCAAAGTAGGACAGCCTCAGTTTTGTCATTTTTGACTCTAGGGTTGATTTGATTTAGAATCTACGTACCGTATTTTTCGCTCCATAAGACGCACCTTTCGCTCCATAAGACGCACCTTTCCATAAGACGCACCAATTTTTTAGGAGAAGAAAACAGGAAAATATAATCTGTTTTCTTCGCTCCATAAGACGCACAGACTTTCCACCCCCCTGTTTTGTGGGAAAAAAGTGCGTCGGTTGATTTGATTTAGAATCTATATGTTCGTCTTTCTGGCAACTCAGTGTATGCAAAGTTCTCCTGTGGTATTTCAAGCAAATCATTTTTTTCCCTGTCAGTTTTCTTCATTGTCCAGTTTTCACATCCACACATAGTAATAGAAATACAATGCTGTATATAATCTTTGCCTTGGTCTCCAGTTATGCATTCTTACATTTTATTAACTTTCTTTGTTCTTTCAATGCTATCTTTCTAAGTCTCAGACTTCTGATTTCTTGACTGCAGTCTCCATTTGGACTGATGATTAAACCAAATTTCTATTTCTACACTGTCAACATTTAAGTTGTGTAGTTCTTTAGTAGTAAGTTTTGTCTTTTTAGTGTTCAACAGCAGTCCTGCTTTTGTATTTCTTTCATTTTCATCAAAAGTCATTTCAGGTCACTGGTGCTTTATGCCAATAAGATGGTGTTATCTGCTTTTCTTAAATTATGGAGCTCCTTCCACCAATTTTTACTTCTTCTAAGCAAAACCTTAGCATTGTTACAAATTAAAATAAGGACAAAATGTTTCTTGACAAATCAAACATTTTAATTTAAAAAAAGCTATGTCAGAAATTGTTTTAAGTTTTTTTTTAATTTAAACCTCAATATAACATGCTCCTTTGGAATGTCTTAATGAGAGGACACATACACTCAATTTTGAAAGTGATACATTAGGCATAGTCTGGAATTTGTGCCCCCACTCGGATGGATCTACAGAGGTGAAGGCAATTTGAATGTCTGAGGCATTTGAAAGCAGAAGTACAGGCTATATAGAGAATGACAGATTCCCGAACTATTTCAAGCTACAGATACTAAAATCTGTCAAAATCCCAACAAGAATATGCCAAAAAATATGGAAAGCAAAACAATAGTCCGCAAACCGGGCATATTCTGTATCCACTCCAGTTCTCAAAAAAGTAAATACTAAGGAGGGCACCAACTATAGGATAGATCCTATGATATCAGGCAACTATCAACAGTGTCAAATTAATTCTTCTCAGAAGTACAGTACTAGTAAATACAGTATAATGGTCTCTCAACTCCAGGCGGTGCTAGAAGATAGTGTTTATTTAGAGCTGTTCTGGTTCCAGATCTGGAGATGAAAAACACTTTGTGGATATGGAACTTCCACAAACTGGGCATACTCTGTAGCCACTCCAGTTCTCAAAAAAGTAAATACTAAGGAGGGCACCAACTATAGGATAGATCCTATGATATCAGGCAACTATCAACAGTGTCAAATTAATTCTTCTCAGAAGTACAGTACTAGTAAATATAATAGTCTCTCAACTCCAGGCAGTGCTAGAAGATAGTGGTTATTTAGAGCTGTTCTGGTTCCATATCTGGAGATGAAAAACACTTTGTGGATATGGAACTTTTATCAGTTTCACAAAATGAAAAAAGGTGTTCAGCCTTCTTAGTTCTTTGGATGTTTCTGTGGTTTTCAATATCACTGAATTCTTCTGAAATACTTATCCAGTTTGGACTCAGGAAGCATGGCGTTCCAAATTAATTGGCAACAGAATCCTAATGACTGTGGGGTAAAAAAAGAAAAAGAAATAAATGCAGGTGGGAAAAGGGAATGAAATGGCTGAGAAAGAGCAGAGGTTGAGTCACATAGATATAAAAATGTATAGACACCACAGTCTTATTGTCTGGGTAGGTCATTTCCTGTCTCAAAGTGAGAAGCTATTTTTAACTGTCTCTAAGATGCCTGAGTGAGAGCTGCTCACAGAAATCTATGAATTGAACTGAATTAGCTGGGACTGGGCACCCATGTACTCCCCCCACCTCCCCCAATATGCAACTCAGTGGTTGTGGTGCCTGTTATGCTGGTGAAGCAGAAGGCACAGCAGGAAGTGGTGGTAAAAGATTAGGGAGTAGTTAACTCATTGTTCCCAAACGTTCTTGGAGGGGATGGAAGTCTTAGCAATGTCTATCCTATAGTTGCTGCACTCCTTAGTATTTCCTTTTTTGAGAACTGGAGTGGATACAGATTATGCCCAGTCTGTGGACTATTGTTTTGCTTTCCATATGTGTTGGCATATTCTTGTTGGGATTTTGACAGATTTCAGTATCTGTAGCTTGAAATAGTTCAGTATCCCATCTACTCCTGATGATTTATTTCTTCCAAACACTTCGAGAGGATGAAATAATTTCCAAGAATGAAATCACAACACCCACCAAACCAATAAAACAATACCAAACTGAAGAGGAAATACAGCCACCCACAAATAAAGTATTTCTGTCATACATCAAATGGGTCACGGACCACATGGGGAAACTTTTGAAAAAACACAACCTACAAACAGTATTCAAGCCCACCACAAAAATACAACAAATGTTACACAGTCAGCAAGGGACAAAATGGACCCCCCTCACCACTGCAGGAGTATACCGAAGGGACCTCCTCACCAGTGCAGGAGTATACCGGATACCTTGCAGTTGTGGCCAGGTATATATTGGAACTACAATATGCAGCATCCACACCAGAATAAAAGAACATGAGAGACACTGCAGACTAAAACAACCGGAAAAATCGGGAGTAGCTGATCCTGCCCTGAAACAAGCTGGACATGAAATTCTATTCCAAAATACTGAAATACTGGACAACACCAGCAATCATTACGTCAGACTGCACAGGGAAGCCATTCAAATCCACAAACACCAGCAAAGCTTCATCAAAAAAGAAGGAAGTCTAAAACTCAACAAAGCCTGGCTCCCAGCACTGAAAAACACAGCCTGCAAAAGGTCAACAAACTCTACCTAGCCACAAGGACCAGTGATCACTGCACACAAAAGACCAGCAAACAACACCCACAGTCACGAGGACAGATCATCTATTCCCCTTATCAGAACAATACACCCACAACAAAAAAACATGCTGATCACCATAATTACCCAATCTCCTGAAAAGGACAAAAAGCTGATCGCACAGCTATAAATACTCAACTATCCCACAAACTGCACCAGAGCAGAGACAAAGTTCTGACTCCTATACTCTGAAGA